CAGGGGGACAGCTTGAGGCTCTGTCTCAAAAAAAAAAAAAAAAGACATTTGTGATGTGCAGTTTATTGAGACCAGCTATTGGTTTAATATTATTCAGACACAAGAAAATGGCCATTCCCATCACCCTCATTGCTGTATGACACCCAGCTGTGTTGTGTGGCAGGTTATTATTAAAATGTTCCCCAAATGCTAACCAATCAATGGTAGCTCTCATTGACATGGTGCCACTTGCCCCAACAGTGTCTTTTGTAGTGGGCCCTTCCCAGGGTCATGCACTGCACTTAGTTGTTCTGTCTTAGGGTACTCAGGTCTGTGATTAAAAAGCTCTCAGAGGTCCAAAATTCTCCAGCACATGTGGCAGGCCAGCATGGGAGGCCAGTCCAGGTGGTATGAGTTCCAGGCTAGCACCAGGCGGCTGAGTCCTACAGGTCCCAGCAGTCCCAGGACGTCCCTCTGAGTGAGCCTTCTTCGTCCTTCGCTGCAGCTCCTCCCTGTAGCAACCCAGGAACTGAGCCACAAAGCAGAAGACTGAGGGTTCCTCCTTAAGCAGGAACCTTACCTGACTGCCTACAGTCTGGCAGAGAAAGGGTGCAAAAATTACAGTTACACACACACTCACACTGTATCACGCCTCACAGGAAGCTAACCGGCACCATCCCAAGTCCAATGCTTAGGGTTATTTATTTAGAAAATTGGACGTGTGTTTACACAAGGCAAAAAGGGAACAGGTTCATGCTTCAATGAAATAGGCAGTTCTTTGTTGAGGGAAGAAAGTTATCAGGCTACAGGATGGTGCATACCGAGTTACAAATCAAAGAATACTTCGGGGAAAACTTAATGAAGGAAAGTTATAGTCTTCAGGTCAAGGTGCCTGCTGCTGCAGGGTATCTGCTGTGACGTTCTGGTTTTATTTATATCCTTGTCTCTAAGCCGTTGATCTCTCAGTAGACATTTCCCAGACTACTTTCTTACCTACTTTGCTGGACATTCCAAGCCCCCTTCACTACCATAGTTATGCATTACACTGGGGGAGCTGAAACTCAGGGGCATAACGAACTGGAGATTTTAGGGGGGAATTCCAGGCTACCCTAGCTTTCACCCACACCCCGGAAGTGCCAGCCTGGGTCCCCCATCACTTGAGGACCCCTCCAGCTCAGCAGTGGTGTTCTGCCCCTCCCAATAAGGAGCTGCTGGGCCTGGGCTGGCTCCAGGTCACCTCAGCTGGGGGCTGGGAGAAGGCAGTGCCCTTGGTACCACTGGGAGCTACATCCTTGCCTTGCAGGACATGGACCTGAGATTCATCTGGAATCTTAGCACTGGGTTGGTTTTTGTACTGGAGGAGGCTGTTGTGAACTTAAATAAAATTTTAAACCCCCTCCAAGCTGACTGAATGGATCATCTCTTGGCCAAGGGGACTCCCCACACAAAAACAAACCCTGTAAAATTGCTGGCCATGGGAGCAGCACCTGTGGCTCAGTGAGTAGGGCACCGGCTCCATATACCGAGGGCGGCAGCTTCAAACCTGGCTCCAGCCAAACTGCAAAAAAAATAGCTGGGCGTTCTGGTGGGCGCCTGTAGTCCCAGCTGCTTGGGAGGCTGAGGCAAGAGACTCACCTAAGCCCAGGAGTTGGAGGTTGCTGTGAGCTGTGATGCTATAGTACTCTACCAAGGGCAATAGAATGAGACTGTCGCTACAAAAAAAAAAAAAAATTGCTGGCCATGAGGAGAAGGGAAGTCAGATGTGCCTAGTTATGCTTTGTCCACTCTGGAGTTATTTTTTGTAACAATGAGATACACAATCATTAATAAACCTAAGGACATGTTAAGACAAACCACACTAGGTCAGTGATTTACATAACAGATTCCTTGAGTCTTGGTATCTGATCAGTGGCCTGTCTCTGACTAGTAGACCACCTTAAGTGAAATGCTCTAAACATTTGACAAAGTTTCTTTTCTTTAACCAACTGCAAATCAAAGATTCTTTAAGCCTACCTATACCTTGTAATCTCCTGCTCTGAGATATCCTGCCTGTTCAGGCCAGACCAATGTACACCCTCCATGTATTGGTTTATGACTTTACATGTAATTCTTGTCTCCCTAAAATATACAAAACCAAACTGTAGCCCAACCTTAGGGAGTCCACTTGCTCAAGGCTTCCTGAGTACAGCTCTCTGGGCCATGGTCGTATACACACACTCAGCTCACAATGCACCTCCTTATATTATTTCACAGTTTTGAGTTCTTATCCATTGACACCATGAAAATGGATGAAGGTGAGGTGTCCCCGTCATTGAGTTATGTTAAACATTAAAAGCCAAAGGCCTTGTGATACCTCCATGAGAAGATATCAATGCCAGCTGGAGCTTTCATAGTGAGTGGCATGGACAAGATAGGAACCTCCTCTGTTAGCTGCTATGCCTGCTCCTGGGAGGGAGGCCCCACATGGTACTGGGAACCGAGCTGGAGGCCTGCAGCAGCCTCCCCAGCAGGGCCTACAGGAGAAACTATGCCAGTAATATGTCACAGGGAAGGGAGTCACTACTGAGAGTCCCTTCTAAACATCTGTTTACACACACAGGCTGTTTGCTCCCTATGGCAAATGGCAGTATCTTTTACATAGGGCTGCAAACAAAGGCAGCAGTCAGCACCCACCTACCCTATCCAGGGGGAGTGGGATGCCATAGGACGCATGACCCCTGAAGTCACAGAATCAGAGTAATTGGATAGAATCACTCCAAGAGGACAATTCTGCTAAATGCCATTGATCTTTTCCTCCTCAGAATCCTTCCCACCTGTCATTGTCCAGGGAACTCAGAGACATGTCTTTGCATT